CCGTGTTCTTTGTTGTCGTTTTTTACTAGAAGGTAGTCCTACACGGCTACTTCATGTCAAGTTTCCTTAAATACGGTTGCTTGAATTATTCATTTACTGTATCGAGTTGTTAAAAAAGCAAGAAAGTTTGTTTACTCGGTGCTGTTACTTAATAACAATAAAACAGAAATAGTCATCTGGTCCATTTAACAATGAGTTGTTGCAAAATTTTCCTCGAATGGGTTCTTGATCAATGTGGCTTGGGGCCGAGCTGGTCTTAAATTAACCTACTTATTGAATAGTAATTATCCAGAGCACGTTTTCCTTGTATGGAATGACTTTTGACCAATGGGTACGTCGAGGGATATGCAACTTTTACGAAAATTAATAGAGTAATTAAAAAACCAAGGTTTTGGGATTTTGCTGGCCCAATTAGAGGTGGCAAATAAAATCTTAGACAAGTGTTACAATAAGAAAAATATGAAATTAAAGATATTTGGAAAGACAAGCCCGCTTTATTTTGTCTCTTGTCAGTTACAGAAATATTTACATATTCAAATGTAGTCCAAAGTTGTTCTAAGAATAGCAACATCGTAGACAAATTAGTTCTGAAAGCCAATACGAAAATTTGAATGTCTCGAATAACAATCAACTATTCTAATATTATAGTCGTGTTTTTAAAAATACCGACGTAAATTGATAGATTTATGATGCCTCGAGACTTACAATCTATTTCCATGGAACTAGTTTTCACCATTTTTGTTTGTCAAGAGGTTGGGAAACTTGAAATTTATCTCTTTAAGAGAAATTTTTATTTTGCAGAAATTAATAACTTCGTTGAATTTTCTCCATCAGCTCCTTACAACATCGTATTCATATTTGTAATTTGTAATACTTTTCTGGATTTTGCTGTTATTATCATTCTATTGTTTCTTGAACCTTGTAAACGTTTAATAAAGTAGTACGAAGGTTTCATGTGGGCATTAAGGTTTATGAACAAAGATTTCAACTAATTCTTATTATGCAATGCATGGAACATATGGAATCACAGCGAAATTAGAAATTGTTTGTTTGAAAAATTTCAAAAAAGCTACAGTTTTTTTATTATTTTTAATTTGATTGCACACAACTGAAAAAATTGTAGTTTTTAGAATGAAAGTTTCTTCATGATTTTCTTCCTATACGAGAACATCTGCATCAATTAAGTTATCTACATTTTTTTTTATTTTTATTTCAAACTAATAAAGCGTAAGAAAGGAGTCAAGTTTGAGCTTTGTTCAAAAAAAAAAAGAAAATTCATATTAGAAACTACAAGACTTTTTAGTTTTATTTAAATGTGTGTTTATTGAAGAAATTAAAATAAATTAATATTACCGATTTTTTTTAGTACTGAAAATTTCATCACTTGCCTTAAAGATTTCTTTAACTTAGTCTCCCGTTAAACGCTTATTTCCGACAATAGTTTTACATAAATAACAGTAAATTATTTTAATTTAGGTAATTTTTACACTTTTAATTGTTATGCAAGGTGTTTTAGAGGTAAATTTTTTAACACAGTCCAAGAAAATTTGTTTAGGAAAAAATTACCTTCAAGTGTACAAGTGTTACACACCAGACTTCATTATATTTATTTCAGTCTCTACAGGGTGATCAAGAAATGATAAATGATAAACTCAATTGTACGTTGTTAAAAAGACTCTGAAGAACTCTAAAAAAAAGTTAAAAAATCCCTGAACCAAATTTTTCGAAATACTAAATTCCAAATTTGAAGAATTAATTTCGTGATTCTGATATGTTTCAATGTGAATTTATAATAAAAATAAAAATTTTCAAATAGAATATTTCTGCTAATTATTATTAAATTATCAATAACTAATTATTTAACTGTATTAAATAAACATGTAGTTCAATAATACAAATCAGAATTACAAGGAATGTTTTCAAAAATTTGGTTCGGAGATTTTTTGACAATTTTTTTGAGTTTTTCAGAGCCTTCTTGACTACGTGGCTGTCATTTTTTGATCAGCCTGTATACATTGTATGTCTGATCTTTTTGTGAAAAAAGAATAAACGAAATTTTAATATATTTTTTTAATACTTGCATTTAAAAAATTAAAAAGTGACAGTTCCACCATTTTCAAAAATTCAGGTGTGTAAATTTTCAGAAAAAAAAAACAAAGAAAATAGGTTAAAACGTGGTTATTCAAGATGACTAAATTCAAAATTCAAATTCAAATTGTAATCTTTCCATCTTTTTCAAGTGTTTAACCCTATATTTTATAAAATCGTTTTTTAAATTTTACATTTTTTGATTTTTCAATTTTTTGAATTCTTAAATTTTAGATTTTTCAATTCCTTGATTTCTCGTTCTTTGATTTTTCAGATTTTCAATTTTCAATCTTTCGTTTTTTAAATTTTACATTTTTCGATTTTTCAGTTTTTCGTTTTTTCAATTTTACAGTTAAAAATTTTTCAATTTTTCGATTTTTTGCTTTTTCGATTCTTTTTAAATTTAAATTTTTTAATTGAATTTTGGGCTATTTCGATTTCTCGATTTTTCTTTTTTTTTTAATTTAAAGTTTTCAATTTTTTAAATTTAAATTTTTCGATTTTTCGATTTGGCCTATTTCGATTTCTCGATTTCTCAATTTTTCGACTTCTCGACTTCAATTTTTCAGGTTTTTGATTTTGCAATTTTTCGAGATTTTCAATTTTTCGATTTCTCGATTTTTCAATTTTCTCAGTTTTTCGATGTTCAATTCTGGAATTTTTCTGTTTTTCGATTTTTCAATTTTTCTTCAATTATTCAATTTTCCAATTTTGGGAATTTTAAATTTTTCGATTCTTCAATTCTTTGATTTCTGAAAAGAAGAAGTTCTGGTTTTTTGATTTTTCATACTTGCAATTTTTCAATCTGTCGTTTTTAAATTTTACATTTTTCCAATTTTTCGATTTTTCAATTTTTTTTTAATTTAAGTTTTTCAATTTCTCAAATTTTAATTTTCGATTTTTCTTTCGATATTGAGCCGTTTCGATTTCTGGATTTCTCAATTTTTCGACTTCTCGACTTCAAATTTCCGATTTTTCAATTTTCCAGGTTTTTGATTTTTCATTTTTTCGAGATTTGTCGATTTTTCTATTTCTCGATCTTCCAGTTTTTCTATATCTCAGTTTTTCAACGTTCAGTTTTGGAATTTGTCTGTTTTTCGATTTGTCTTCGATTAATCAGTTTTTCAGTTTTGGGATTTTTCAATTTTTCGATTATTCAATTTTTTGGCTCTTCAGATTTTCGATTTTTTAATTTTTCGTTTTTTAAATTTTACGTGGTTCGATTTTTCAAATTTAAATTTTTCGAGTTTCCTTTTTTCAATTTTCGATTCTTCAATTTTTTGATTTCATAAATTTTAGATTTTGCGATTTCTTGATTTATGGTTTTTAATTTTTCAGATTTTCAATTTTCAAAATTTCGTTTTTTAAATTTTACATTTTTCGATTTTTCAATTTTTCGGTTTTTAATTTTTTTAATTTTTCAGCTTTTCGATAGCCCGATTTTTCTTTTTTTTTCAATTCCAATTATTCAATATTTCAAATTTTAATTTTTGGATTTTGGGCTATTTCGATTTCTCGATTTTTCAATTTTTCGACTTCTCGACTTTTCGAATTCTTAATATTTTGATGCTTCAATTTCTCCATGTTTTAATTTTCCAATTGCTCGACGTTTCGATTTTTCTATTTCTCGGTTTTTGGATTTTTTAAATTTCAAATTTTTGGTGATTTCGGTTCACATGTTACATTTTTCGATTTTTCAATTTTTAATTTCTCGGTTTTCCAATGTTCAAAATTTGTTTATTTCTCGATTTTTCAAGTTATCAATTTCTCAAGTCGTCATCACTTCAATTTTGGGAATTTTTCCATTTTTTTTTTTCATTTTTTCGATAATTTTTTCAGATTTTTCGGTTGGTCAATTTCTCGATTTATCGATTTTCGATTTCTGGATTTCTAAATCTTTTGATGTTTTAATTCCTCGATGTTTGAAATTTTCAATATTCCGATGTTTCAGTTCCGTAATTTTAACTTATTAATTAATCACTGTTTATTAGAGAAAAAGTTAAAGACAACGTCTTATTTTTTAATTTTCAGTGCGACGTTACCAGATTATTCATTATTATTTTGTCAATGTGTATTTTAATAAACTCAAAAATTTCGGAAACACTCATCTTTAGATATATAGGGTGTTCTAGTTAAAAAGATTGAAAAATCGATATTTGGATATTGTAATAATTTAGAATTTCTTATAAACATTTTGTATATTAAGTTTTTGTTCAATTTACACCACAACAAAGCGCACTTTGGTTTATATTTCTACAAATTATTGTAACACATATAATCAAAAAACATAGAATAACGTGTCAACGTCGCATTAGTTCTAAAGCAAAAGAAGTGGCCGATGAGAATATATGAAAATATACAGGACGTTCAACAAAAAATAAGATATTGAGGAAACCGCATTTTGTGATTCACCCTGTACATATTTTATGATCTTCATCATTTTTTTATATAATCAAAAAGTATACTTTTGTCGAATTTTTTAAGCAGTTATTATAATTTAGAAAAAACCAACAACGTCATTAAAAATAACAACTAATTATTTATTTCACGATGAAAAATACCCATTAATTACAGTATAAAAAACATAAGGAATTTATTTTATATTACGACATTTTATTTTTGGATAACACACATTAATTATTTACAAAAAAACCCGGTACAGATTTTTGAGTTTCAACATTTAAAATTTTTACCGCTTTACAGAATAACGAATACTTCATAGACATTTTTTTATCGGCACAAAATTCTGTTTTTTTTTTCCAGAAAACCCCATCCTTGACCCCCGCGAAAACGCTAATTTCTCTATTTACCATTACTCAGTCGCACTTATCTTACCCAACACCATCACCTTTCCATTTTCAAAAAAACCTTTACAATAATCCGATAATTGCAATGCAAATGACAATACGAACCAGTATAGCGGCGGCATAAAAAACCATCTTTTCTTTACCACAGCATTCGTGCTGCACTGACACAGTTGCGTACTGCACTAACTATCGCACTGACCAGCGCGCGAATAGTCCGGGCGCTCCGGGCCGGAGTAGAGATGTGGGCGTGCCGCGTCACAAGTCAGAGGTCGGCGGAGGCAAGGTTGTGCGTGTATTACACTTTTTTCTTCTCGACCATTATTCTCGAGTGACATGGATTTGCGATAATGCCTGCCTGAGGTCACGCTAAATTGCCGCACACATCTCTATTTTTGCTAATTTGCCGGTTATATCACCGGGTTGCTAATGGAGTGGTTGCTGCGACATGCAAATGCGACGCCCGAAATTAACCTCAATTTTGAACAAAACGAATTTCGAAATTTTGGGTCTTCGTAGTTGAATTTCGGCGAAAATTTTGATGTTTTCTGTTATGACGAGTCATTTAAATTACCATTATGCAAGAAAATTAACATTGTTTGTTTGGGTTTTAACGGAACAATAGTGAAAAGAGTTAACTCACACTAATAACAATAATTAGAACTAAAGTAAAAGCTACTTAGTGCGAGGGACTTATTCGGAACAATCGATGGCTGTTTGTCGAGTACCTTTTACAGGTTGCGTTTCCTTTCTTTTCTTTTTTTTGTCCAGGTGATTGTTGTTTATTATGTTGTTGGTCTTTGCTCTTTTTTTCAGTAAGGTGCTAATAACAGGATAATGTTAATAGCGATATTAATGCGGCAACATTAAGCGTTCATTGTTTGAATCCGAAGTATTGTTTTATCTACTAATTTATAGCATTTAAGGTCATTGAAAAATTTAATAATCGGTTAAGCTTGATAGCTGATGTTTCCGGTGTTCACAAAACCATGTAGAAGCATATTTTATTGTTACATAAGTGGATGAAATTTTTACAGACCATGAATATTTATGCGGCGAAAAAATTGACGTGTAATTAATGCAGCTAAAAGGTGTATCTGGGAATAGTTTTGTATAAATTAAGAGGAGTTTAGAAAAAATTTGGTACACTTAAAAAAAATTATTTCAATATTTGTGTTATTTGTAATTAAACAACATAAATTGTAATAAAATAACACTAATAACATATTTCAGATTCTAAGATATTTTCAAGAATTTAAAGAAAATAATTTTGGATAATAATACACGTTTCTGTTTTTTTTTTTTTTAATTTTTCTTCGGTATATAATTTTAATCGTTTCCTGTTCCTCTTTGTCTGTTTCTTCTGGACGTTTATCTGTTGGAAAATTTTTCGCTATTTACTTCTGGTTTATTGTCCAGCACTATTAATTTGATTTATAGGTTGTATTTCTAGCAAAAAATATTTCTCAGAAATTATAACACTGACCTAACATTGCACGAATTCCTTCCAAAAAACTGATGACATCACCACTGTAGAGTACAAATTCCGCTTTTCGTGCTTCTGTCGTCCTTGCAACTTTAAAGGTATTTTTGTCTGTGCATTCTTACTAAAAAACCGTCACGTTATTTGACAATGCTAACTAAAAGTAAATTCCAAATAATTTAATTCAGTCCAAAAATAATATAAATAGGAATGTTGTGTGAGGATCACAGGCTTTGTTTGGTTCTATTTAATCAGATATTCTTGCAAGAAATCTTCAAATGGGTTTCCATTTTGCTTCAAAGCACATTCTCACACTTAAGGAAGTTAGATTATGATTGACATTTGTGACAAGTGACGTGTAGTTGTTATTTATCGCAACAAAGCGGCAAACCTTACGAAATTTCAAATTTTGTAATCACCTTGTGTTGTTGATACAGCTCAGTACCTACAATATTTCCTAAAATTTTGTATTTTTTATTCTCTCAACGGTTTTAATTTTAATTTTTGTATTCTTTTCTTCTCTTTCTGGTTTTTTCTTGATCTGCTTTGCATAATTATATAATCGCATATTAAGATAAACGTTGCAATAACTGTGTATTTTAAAAAAAATTTGATCGAAGTGTGCTAATTACACAAAATTAATAAAAACATTTTAATGCAATTAATAAAAAGAATTAACAGATGGATAGCGTTTTTGACCGTTATTAATGTTATAAAACCGCTTAGAGATCTTTAAAATATGGAAATTCCTTGTAACCATTATTCACACGAAAAATTCCAAATAATGTGAACCGACGGATTATGTTTTTCTTTTATAATATTTACTATTCCCTGAAGTGTTTATTCACTGTAAATATCAATATTATATTTGATAAGGATAATTAAAAAAAAGGGTCATTGGCAGTTTACACACGCATTCTTATGTATGCACCTTACAAGTCCAACTGATCACGTTTTTAAATATAAACTAGTCCATTGAGAGACTGCCGATGTGCAACTAAATATTTCTCGGAATTTCTCACAGCCAGAGGTATTCCTAAAAAAATGCTCTTGTGTAAGTGTTCCAGCAAAAGTCGTTACTTGTGTAACTGGAACTTTAGCGTCGAAGGCATTTCGCGAACGAGCTATAGACAAATTTTTTGTACAGTTGGTACAACACAAAATGCCGTGAATAATGTCAGAGAAAGTTAAAAATGCAGTTTGACAATCTAAGAAGTAATTATTTTCGAAACTTAACTAAATACATTTTCTTGTAGATTTTGAGCTACAGAAGTTACTTTGAAAAATCGAATTTTTGAAATTTTTAACAATTCTCACTTTAATCCTGAGTATTTCGAAAATTTTGCTCGATGAACATAAACACGCTATATTTTTGGAAGCAGTTCGTCGAGATATATATTCCAAAATTTTTTGTGGATTTTTGGACAACTTTTTCAAAGGGGAAATTTTTACACTACTCCCCTCTTTCTCAAATTTCGACACCTTTTTGACCATTTTCGAAGTCTACGCGGTTTTTGTGAATCGACTTCGAAATATAGAAATTTTTGGAATTTTCAAAAATTTTTATTTTAATTCCGAACATTTCGAAAATGTTGGTAGATGAACATAAACACGCTGTCCATTTGGAAGCAGCACACCGAAATCTATATTCCCATATTTTTTTTTTTGATGTTTGATCAACTTTTTCAAATGTGAATTTTTTCGAATTCTTTAAATTTCGGTCCATTTTCACCATTTTCAAAACTTAACTAAACAGATGTATTTTTTTTTGTAGATTTCGAACTCTAGAACCACTTCCGACGTTCTTTCTTTGATAACTCCAACCGTTTTTCCAGAATCCACCGTTGAAATATCGAAATTTTTGGAATTTTTTGAGAATTTTTAGACAACTTTTTTAAAAGTGAAATTTTTTACTTCTTCAATTTTTTAGAAACTTAAAGCTATTAATTTTTTCTTTTAAATAAATTTCGTCTTCTTTCTGCTGCAATAAATTTTGGTAGTACAATTTTTTTTATAAAATTAATCACTGAAATAGAGGCGGGTGAGTGGGCGGGGTTCTTGTTTAGAGTGAGAGTGGTAACTCATAGAAGTAAAGTGTAAAATGAGCGCTAATCGTAACTTTTTTATTGTACTATTTGTTATAAGATTTATTTCTTATTTCAAAAGAGAAAAAAATAAATTACAAGACTCTATGTATGTCTTTGTCTCTTTGTTATCATGTTCCTTAGTGACAACTTTCTCCCACAGTCTTTTATAGTAATCAAGTACTAGCTCCGTCCACCCGCCCTGTATTTTCTTAGAGAGTATATTACTTGCCAAAATCAGTGTTATCTTAACAAATACTAGCCCCGCCCACTCTCCCTCTTCTCATTCTAGCGACTAATTTTATTTCTGCATAAGATCCACCTTTCATTCAGAAAAGATAAAATTAATTATCGAAATGGAGGTGAGCGAGTGGGCGGAGTTAAGGTATATATTCTTTTGGAGAGTGGAAGCGGGAACTGATCGAAATTAGGCTGTAAAAAGAGCGCTAATCGTAATTTTTTTGTTGTTGTATTATTTGTCATAAGAATAATTTCTTATTTCAGAAAAAAAAATAGAAAACATGTAGGTGGGTGGGGCATAGTCTAACTTTTTCCTATAGTGATTTATAGGCAAGCAATGCCCCGCCCACCCTCACCCATTTCATTCCAGTTACTGCTCTTAATATTGTTCAGTCTTATCGTTACAAGAACTAGCCCCACCCACCCACCCTCTATTTTCTTAGAGGTATATCACTTGCCAAAATCAGTCTTATCTTAACAAATATTTCTTCAAATTTCGACCCATTTTTCACCATTTTTGAAACTGAACTAAATACATTTTCTTGTAGATTTCTAGCTCTAGAACTCAGTTCCGACGTTTCTTTAATAACTCCAACCCGTTTTCCAGAATTGGTCGTTGAAATATCGAGAATTTTGGAATTTAAAAAAAATTTGATTTTAAACACAAACATTTTGAAAATGTTGCGCGATGAACCTAAACACACTATATTTTTGGAATCTACACGTCAAGATCTACATCCCTGAATTTTTGAGAATTTTTAGACAACTTTTTTACAAATGAAATTTTTCCCTCCTTCACATTTTGGCCCATTTTTGACCTTTTTCGAAACTTAAAAATGTTAATTTTTGTTTTAAATAAATTTCGTCTCCTTTCTGCTGCAATAAATTTTGGTAGTACTATTTTTTTATATAAAATTAATCACTGAAATATAAGCGGGTGGGTGGGCGGGATTTATTATATGTTCTTCTCGAGTGGGAGTGGTAACTGATAGAAATGAGGTGTAAAAAAGTGGTAATCGTCACTTTTTTGTTGTAGTATTTGTTGTAAGATTTATTTCTTATTTTAGAAGAGAAAAAAATAAATTACATCACAGCATGTATGACTTTGTCAATTTGTTATCATATTCCTTAGTGACATAACTTTTTCCTACAGTGTTTTATAATAAACAAGCAATAGTCCCCCCACATTTCATTCCGGTTACTACTCTTAATAATGTTCAGTCTTATCATCTCAAGTACTAGCCCCGCCCACCCACCCTCTATTTTCTTAGAGAGAATATTACTTGCCAAAATCAGTCTTATCTTAACAAGTACTAGCCCCGCCCACCCTTCCTCTTCTCATTCTAGCGACTAATTTTATTTCTACATAAGATCCACCTTTCATTCAGAGCAGAAAAA